CCCCCCCCATTGCAGTTTAGCTTTGGGTCTGGAACAATTTCGTTTTCAATCTGTGGGTGACTGCCTGCCTTTCGTGGATTTTATTCTCCCCCCTGCCCTCATTACTGCATTCTTCAGTAATTTGCAACTTTTTTTTTCCTCCCGTCTCCCTATGCCATTGACATGCTGTGACACTGGCTTAATAAGAAAGTAAATAGATGGACAAATTTTGATTCCAGCTAATGGATTATTTCCCTGAAATGCCTTGTTGCTTAGTTTTCCCTCCCGGCTTTCGTGGATTTTATTCTCCCCCCTGCCCTCATTACTGCATTCTTCAGTAATTTGCAACTTTTTTTTTCCTCCCGTCTCCCTATGCCATTGACATGCTGTGACACTGGCTTAATAAGAAAGTAAATAGATGGACAAATTTTGATTCCAGCTAATGGATTATTTCCCTGAAATGCCTTGTTGCTTAGTTTTCCCTCCCGGTTGTGTCTTTTCCAGCTTTTGATACAAGCTACTGGTGATACGTAATTCTGCCTGATCTGTTTTCTTTTGCTAAAATAAATGCACATAGTTAAAAGTACTCTGCCACAGAATACTAAATCAGCTTTTTCAGAGTTTGATTTAGTGACGCTGCTGTTTAGAAGGGATTGGTCCTATTTAAGAAAGGTAGATTTCCACCTGCTCCCTACTTGTGTGTTTAACAAAACCCATGCTCTGAAGAAAGAACTCCCCTTTACTCAGGGAAAGCCCCAGTTATCTGAAGTAATGAGAGTAGCAAAGGTCGGGACGTGCAGATTCTGAATGTCTATTCTAAAATGCCAAAGACAATCTTTGAGATAGTTTGTTATAGTTTAGGGTAAACAAGGACCTGATTGTAAAAAGAATCCAAACTTTAAACTAGAAAGATGCAATGTGTATTAAAAGCTCAGATGCTATGGGGATGAGCACCTCCTGCAAAAAAACAATAAAAAAAATCCTGCTCTATCTGTTTCAAAGAGAAAATACAGCTTCAGCTTTAACAGCGGTCACAGGGCAGTAGTGGTTCCACAGTTTCACATATACGAATCAGGCAAATAATGAGAAGGAACTTAGGTACACTCACAGCAATCGCAGTAGTGGTTTTGTAACAAAACCAACTAAAAAGCTATTAACTTATTGTGTGAATATATAACTTGTGCCCGTTTGCAAAAATTGTTTTTCCTGTCTTTAACTTTAGTTCTCCCTCAAAGCACAAATACTACAGCTGTAGGGGGCATTCTAGGTGGAAAGTAATTGCTTTGGAATTTGTCCAGGAGGATAATGGTTTTCTTTTGAGAGACTGTAGTGACTTATCATTAATAAGCTCTGCCGAGAAGGACCTGGGAGTCCTGGGGGACAACAAGTTAACTACGAGCCAGCAGTGTGCCCCTGTGGCCAAGAAGGCCAATGGTCTCCTGGGGTGCATTAGGCAGAGTGTTGGCAGCCGGTGGAGGGAGGTGATCCTGCCCCTCTCCTCAGCCCTGGGGAGGCCTCACTTGGAGTACTGTGTCCAGTTCTGGGCTCCCCAGCACAAGAGAGACATGGCACTCCTGGAGAGAGTCCAGCGGAGGGCTACAAAGATGATGAGGGGACTGGAGCATCTCTCCTATGAAGAAAGGCTGCAAGAGCTGGGCCTGTTCAGTCTGGAGAAGAGAAGACTGAGAGGCGATCTCATCAACGTATACAAGTATCTGAAGGGGGAGTGTCAAGAGGATGAGGCCAGCCTCTTCTCCGTGGTGCCCAGCGACAGGACAAGAGGCAATGGGCAGAAACTGAACCACAGGAAGTTTCATCTGAACCTGAGAAAAAACCTCTTCACTGTGAGGGTGACAGAGCATTGGACCAGGTTGCCCAGAGAGGTGGTGGAGTCTCCTTCGCTGGAGATATTCAAAACCCGTCTGGATGTGATCCTGGGCAATGTGCTCTAGAGGTCCCTGCTGGAGCAAGGGGGTTGGACTAGATGATCTGCAGAGGTCCCTTCCAACCTAAACGATTCTGTGATTCTGTAATCATGACTGGATAATATCTCAGTTCTGTCTATTCTGAAAGATATGAGTAGATTTGTAAACTTAAATGTATTCATCTCCCAGATTGTGCTCATTAGCCCTTGGTACAGGGGAACAGTGTCACCGTACTAGGACATGGCTTGTCTGTTCTCCAGGCATAGTTTGTATCAAAGAGAATTTTAGTTCATAGGTCTATGACACACAGGTGACCTAAGATATTTATCAGAATTTAGAGTAGTGGAAAGAGAGGGGGAAAAACAGCAGGAAAAAGAGGAGGAAAGAAACAGGATATATCAGCAATTCATAATACAACAAGAAAAGCCTGTATGTGGAGAATGTGGGGAGTGAAGATACTTGTCATACATTTTTATTTTTAAAATAGACACGTTTGCAGTGTTGCTTGCCGTAGTGCTCCCAACTATTTAAAGAGGTGATGGCTATAGATGTCCAATTTAAGCCTTGAGCTAAAGCACAGGCAACATGCTCTAACCATTTATAATTATGCGCCACCATCCCCGGGATCCCAATTAGGCTTAACAATAGGCCTAAGGCTCCTGCATGAGAAAATAAATGAATATGGGGGTTACAAGTGGAATCCAGGATATGCTGTGGGGTCCTTCTCCGCTCCGTCATAAAGGGAAGGATGCTTAAAGTAACATGACCTACAGTGCGTGGGCCAGCTGCGGCATTGGCCGACACATATGTATATGCTGTAGTGCCACATAGAAGGAACCATCCTAAAGGTAGTAGTAAGTTGAGTAGATGCATAGGTAATAGTCATAGTGTCATTACAAATTAACTGTGTATTGGTTACATTCCGCAGAACAGAAGTAGCATTTACAAAGAGAAAGCAAATATCTGCTTAAGGTATGTTAGTTATATGAAAAGAGTAAGTTCAGGGTGTCAGCTTTTGGGAAACAATACCCAAATCATATAAATTCATGGGAGTAACAGAAATATTATAATTTTTTAGAAAAGTACAGCTCTGCAGTACTGTGAGTGGAGTTGGTGCACCCATGTAACACGTAGTTAAGACAGGACCTATTGCGTCCTTCACCTGGGGCCTGGTTTCTTGAAACTGGTTTAGTGTCCCATGAGAAGGCAGCTGAGTGGGGGTGAAGACAACAGATATCCCAATAGTGAGAAATGGAAGCATTAGCCCACCTGGCCTGCACGTGGTCTCCTGCCATTGAGCAAAAGAGGTGATAGCTCAGGTGTGATGAGAGCCCTTTTGTCCCATACTACACCACGGGTCATCATGCAACAGACATGGAGACAGACTTCCCAGAAGACAATGTGGAACCCTTGGAGGTGGATCCTTCCAAAGGTGAAGGTGAAACCCATGGAAGTTGATCCACTGCCAGCAAAGCAGGCATGCAGAAATAGCACTGTGCTTGGGGTAGTCCGCCGATACCCATGGCAAAGTTGTCCCAGGAGAGGGGGTCTCTTGTGGCCATCAACTTGGGCTCAGCAACCTGAAGTTGGTTTAGACCCCCCCCCCCCAAGAAGATCAAGATGAGGGGGGCTGTATAAAACACATCCTGCAGGCAGGAAAGAGAGCCCAGCCAGCTGCCATGGGCCACGCAATAGAAGAGCTGTTGAGTTTCAAGTG